TGTTAAGTGGGGCATTACATGTTTTTACGACCTTTCAACATGCTCTCACATTTCGATTTATATAAACAAAATGAATTCAGTACACGTAGGAAAGTTTAAGTCTGCTGAGTTTATCTGGTGACATTTTCTCCAAAACTACTTGGCATGGGCACTGGCGTCGTTAACTTTCGTATTTTCTATTCAAAAGACAAAACGTTACTGTACATAAGTAAAATGCATGTGAACATATCCTTCGAGATTATAAAAGGGATAGACATATTTTTCACAGTTATTTTACCAACGTGACATTTCGAAGTTCAAAATATACATTTCTTAATTATAAATTGATATTTCTCAGTTCCAAATTGACAGTGGTCCCTTTCAAAAAAATGAAAAAAACAATGTAATTATGGAACTATATCGAGTTGGAAACTAATGAATATGTCTACTTGAAAGTGAGAAATGTCAAACTTGAAATCACAAATGTTATTTACTGAATGTCTCCATCTGTCTTTCTCAGAGGAGCAATCATAAACTAAGATAAAGTCAAAGCTCGTGATACAATACAATGACACTGAAGTATTGAGAATCATAAACTACTTTCCTTAAATAAGGACATTAAACTGTTTTCCCTATTTTCACATACACGCTAACTTCCTTCATATGATCACTTGATGCATTGAAATATTAAGACGTTCGTTTTCGGTTATAATTAACAAATTCGAAAGATAGACGACATGGATAGGGAAATTCAGGGGGGACAGAAAGTGTGTGCTTTTCCTGAAGGTCGGAAAATTTGTATTTCTTAGGTAAAACATTTTTAAGTATTCATATCTAATCTTGGATTCGCCCGTGGTGTCAAATATTACAAACGCATTACATGTGTATCAGCCTTCACGGCATTTCGACACTTGATCTGGTATTGACCTTTCATGTGAGATGTAGCAGATATGTTGTTTGCTGAAAACCTTCTATTAACAATCAGAATGAACAACATTAACAGTTCAGTTTCATTGATTTATTTGCCATCCTAGTATTTAATGAAATGATTGCTGAGACATACATCCACTTAGTCTTTTTTTTCAAATTAAAAGATCGATCCAAAACAGAATGACAGATCGCCTCGCGCATCTTACCCTTCCAGTTTGAAGAAAAGATTTGCTGACTAACGAGTACCACACTTTTCAGGTGTTACGATAGGTAAAGCAGATGTAGCTAATAAAACAACCATGTAGTCCTGTATTACAGACATGGATGCTATCTTAAATAGCCAATACATTACTTAATTCACATAACACTGGATCACATTATCAGGATCAAGAATCAATAACAGGTACATTCTAATTGATTTTAGTTGTTATATATTACTGTGGTTTTATTTAGTAAACACGGAAAGATTACTTTGTCTCTCTTATTAGATTTTATGTTATAAACGAAAGAGATTTTGGGCAAAGGATAAAGAGGTAGAAAAAAGTAAAATCACAAAAATACTGAACTCCGAGGAAAATTCAAAACGGAAAGTCCCTAATCAAATGGCAAAATCAAAAGCTCAAACACATCAAACAAATGGATACATGTTCTTTTTCGTTTATAACATAAAATCTACATGTAAAAAGGGAGAAAAAGTAATCTTTCTGTGTTTACTAAATATAACCACAGTAATATAAAACAACTAAAATCTATTTATTAAGCAACCAACACATATGTATTTCAAGCCACCTAAGTAAAGAAAATATTACTTCTTCAAGCATTGCTGCATCATCTTTAACAAAAACATTAATTTTAACAAGAAAAACCAAATCATATTGCGATTATTTTATTTTGATGCAGATCATCTGTGTCTTCTGTATTTCTCACCTCGTCTATTGTTCGACTGAAAAACAAAAATAAATGCATCATAATTAAAAACAAATCAAAATGTATAAAACAGTTACTTTCACGTAATGTATTTCCTGTTTTCAATTAATCCATTTGAAAGCTTTTAAGAAACGAAAATAATTATATCAATCAGTTTACATTAAACAAACATATCTGGTTTATATGTAGGGGAAAAAACGATTGATGCACAAGCCATGTTACAGTCTGATTCTGCTACTTTTGGATGCTTTTTATTTTCTTGCATATTTCCACACAGACAGTATGTACTATACTGAAAAAGTGAAAAAAAGACGTAAATTCTGAATCGAACAAAATGATATTAATATGCTATAAACAAATTACATGTATCAAAATGCTGGAATGAATAAAAGTGTGGAATGGTCCATGTAAAAACACTTTTTTTTAAACAAAAATATGCATAAACTTTTTTTTAAAAAGACGCAATAGTGGTGCGAATTATATATAAACTTATTATGGTGTTTTATTCTAATATATCGGATGGATTTTCCTAACGTTTGACAAAAAGATATCTAAACAAATTATTTTTTTTTCATTTAAAGCTGAATGCAAATGCATATTTTATTTGACGCTATTTTATGTTTTATTCTTAAAGTTGGTTGTGAAATCAGTGTTACCTGCAAGCCTGTATTTTTATATACTTTGCAATGTTCACGATATTTAGCTAAAGTTATATAATTCCCCAAGCTCGAAATTTTATGTTCGAGATGTCTGACATTGTCATCTTTGTAACATCCAATGTATCCTAAAATATTAACAATAATATTTACTTAAAGTGACAAAATCAAAAGATATTAAAAGAATCGATCAGAAATTTGTGTTATTACATTATGTCGTTCAGAAGCATTTTTCGATCATTAAGTAAATATTATACATTGGGAAATTGTTTTAAAACGATTCTACAAATGCTATTGAAATGTAATTTTTGGTTCAATCATATTAAAAATCATTTTCATTGGAATATGATTTGTGTCACTCTATTTCACATTTTTTTCAAAACGTGTTCCTTATTGTATCGAACATTGCAATAATTTCAATTATCATCGGAATAAACAATTAGCGAATTGTACTTCTACATGTTCTACACGCTGGTCCTTTAATTGATTACGAACTTTCTATGGTATTTCTAGCACCATGCATAAAGATGTATCGCCTTCGTAAATTTGTCGTTTTGAGATTGTGATTATATAGACAGAATACATTTTCAAAAAGCTACTTAAGGACATTTTATTTTATTTGAATTAATTCAAAATCGTATACATATCATTAGTTTTGTGCGCAATGATTGAAATGTTGTTGAAAACTTTATTGTATAATCGATACAAACCATCAGCTTGTTTCCTAGTTGCTTTCTGCAAACCATTAATTGCTTTATTTACATCTGTGAGGTTGGATTTAATTGCAGAAACGCTGTTACTATTATCCTTCGAAACTGCTATTGTTTTGTTTAATTGGTCCTGTTGGGATTTCATTACTTCTTCAATCGATTTCAATTTCAAAGATGAAACCTTGTCATAATTATCATCTATCAAGACACCACGAACTGGAATCTTATTCTGTGCATTAATGGATATGCTGACCGTTTTACGGTTAGTTAAACTTGTAACTATTACAATATATAAGAATGCAACAAGAATAACAAAGCTCTTCAATCTGTTAATCGATATGCTTAAAATATCATGAAATCCCTTTTATATTATGAAAAAAAACCCAAAGTAATATGCATATTGCATGTCAGTGTATTGATTACGTACGAATATGTTGCATGATATGTGATATTCCTGTTTGTCTTATGCAAATGGGAGTAAAAGTTACATGAAATAAATGTAATTTCATGATGAACAGAAAACACCTTTTAGACACTTTTCGCATTTTTAACGTACTATGATAGACAACAAAGTTAAACACTAAAATACATGAAATTAAAAAAATATGCAAACATATTGAACGTGATACAACCTTTAAGCACTCACAATTAATTTATTGACTAAAATTATCAAATCATTGCTGTATATCATTTTGCCTAATAACATATATCCAACGACTTAAATTTCAAGAGCGCTTTAAATTATCTCTGTTTCTATGTGACTTGGCATGCCATAATGTATGTTTTTTCAGTAATACTTAAAAAGCAATTTGCAATTGAGAAATCAATAGTCTGCTTGATTTAATTATTACTAAAAAGCCATGTTTTCATTCATATTGTTTGATAATTAAAGGTAGGGTTTTAGAAAAATGTTGGCAAATGAACCATGATATGGAGGTCAAGGTCAGAAGAAAACTGCACTTTGACCAGAAAACCAGGCAATAAAGAAAATGTCAAGGGAACCCTGTCCGATAGACCTGTACAGCTTACAATCGTTCATAACACCAAAAAATAGTTGAACACTGTTAACATCAGAATATTCAAACATCTCCTTATGTCAAATGAAATGATAATCTTTTACTATATATCGCAACACTCGATGCGAAGAGAAGCAATAGTGATGATCGTAATCTGTAAGCTATCTAGACCTACGAAATAACTTTAGAGATCAAATGGCAATCATCATCCTTCATCTGAAGGAGCCTAAACTATGCAATTCATAAAAATATCAAATGGCTTTAACCTCCTTAGGTGAATGAACATAATGTATGCGCTATACAGGATAACTAATTGACTTTCAAACACAGAAGTCGAAAACAAGTCAAGACATGGCAAAACATCAAAAGACCAAAAAGACACAACAGTATACAAAAACAACATAAAAAAACTAAAGAATTAGCAGCACAAACCCCCACAAAAACCCAGGGCTGATAACCTGAGTCCAATTTTGATTTCTCCATAGGAGCTGTTTTTTTTTTGGGGGGGGGGCATTTTTAAGTGATAATGTGGGTTGACCCTTTTTTCTGTTTTGGATAATTGTCATAATTCCCCCCCAACAAACGACTTGTGACTAATCTTCGTTGTTAGTTTTACTTGCGTGTTAATCTTAAGGCTGTAATCGGTATACTTGCACTATCAAGACAGAACGTTTTTTTCTTTTCTTAAGATAAAAGAAAATCAAATTAAAAAATTTTGTGGGAGAAGAACCCATTTGTTTTTGTATACAGTAAATGATCAAGGCAAAGAGAAAGGGGTTAGATATACTTTAATAAACATCCACACTCTCTATATTTGTTTAATTCAGTAGATTTGTATTATTTATAAGTTCAAATTAACTATTACATTTTTTACATGATTTTAAAAGAAAGAATGTATAACCGATCGAGACTGCTAAAGTCCAATTTAATGCATTATACAAAACTATACTAAAAATAATTTAAATGAGGTCTATATGATCAGCATTTATTTATAGTCAAAATAGATAATTTATTGAATTAATATCTCTACAATGGTATTTTTGCTTTGTACAGTAAGTGTTCTGTTACTTCTCTTCCATGCACGAAAACCACCTTTGACATCTAAAACATACAATTACATAGCAGAACATACATTCATACTTATATTTAATATTTTGTTAATCATTTTCAAAGTCATCTTTTCTCGTAAGAAAACAACTAGTGTCATTATCAGCAGATAAATAGCATTTAAGGACAACGACAGTGGATGTTTGTTGTTGTCCTTGTGTTAAACATATATCACGTTAAAATGAGATGCTTATTTTAGATTGTCTTGTTTGATATTTCAATTTGCATAGGTTTTATAAATGTATTAAACAAATACTTTAAATGACACCATTATCAAGACTTGTCCAGGAACTTTTTCGACAACTAATAGAGTATTTCCATATATAGTTGTTGTTTACAATGTTCCTTAAACATCAGATTTGGGTTTTCTGTTCCTCTAGTGTACATGTATGCTATGGTTTACTTTTACAAATTATGACTTGGAAGGAGAGTTGTCTCATTGGCACTCATACCACATCTTCTTATATCTATTTATATTCTTAACATGTTTATAGTATGTTGATTTAGCTTCACCATATATGGAGTTAGTATTTTTACAACTTATATAAAATCAATGTCAAGCTATTCGACCTGCACACAATTCTTGACTTTTGAAGTTCTAAAGTTAGTATGTATTGTTTTGTCCGCACATCCTTAAAAGGTATCAAATGTTTATGACATGTATCGAAATGTCAAATTCAATGCTTAAATCAAATTTCTCATACAATACGATCAAAAACAAATGTTTACCAAAATAAAATTGCATTCCTTTGTTAGGATAATATATTTGTTTCATATTCATGTTACAATCTGAATAAATTACTGTTTGCTATACGCAGGTAAAAATAAAATACCAATCTTGTCATGTTTGTACTTTGATACCGCGATGAAAAAGAAAATATTACATAACATATAAAACTAAAATTTGATTGAATTATACGAACAGAATCTTAAAGTACAATACAACCATTATAAGATATTTCGTGCGAAACATAATTGATTGAAAATAAAACACACGCAGGAAAACAAATGGAAAGGAAAACAAACACAAAGATAATTAAAAAAAAGGAAAGGTCAATAAACATAAACATAAAATAAACTTACTCACAGTTTTCACAGTCGCTAAAATATAGCACAATTACAAAAAATAAATAACGTAAAATATTTCATTCATATTCTAATTTTTTACAACAAAATACCGTATACTTTGTATATTTACACAGTATAACATTTCATTCATATTTATCATTTAGGCTGGAGCATGAACACAAAAATATTTATAGTTTTCCACCGAAAAGGTATAACTTTATATCGTTTCATTTGTGATGCTTACGTTAAATAACGTTTATTTATGTAACACATACTTTGTAATCTCTTATTGAACTTAACTCTTTAATAAAATTACACAAGTTCAGTATAACTGAAGTCATTATAACTAAACTAGTAATATATATCTATCTATTAGCTATTTTTTTTAAATATTATAGTAAAATCATCTTATTTATAATCATGATAAGCTTTTCTAATTTTCAAAAATCAAATCAGAATGTTTCAGTTTCATTTTCAAGATTGTGTCTTTAACTGTGCCTATAATGACATGAGAAAAACCAAAATGTATAGGTTATAAGCTTAGAGTTCGATTATTATTTGAATTTATTGGTATCTGTTTCATTGAAACAACACACAAACTGTTGCGGACTTTGACCTTGACTTTGTGTTTTTCATCGGTTTGATATAAGTTTATAAAATATTGTATGGTAAACACATCTTAAATGTTTATATATATATATATACAAAGTGAAACTTACAAATAGTTTCCTTGTCCTTGAATTTGTAACCAACTGTAAGATACAACATAAACATGATCATCATTGTCGCGGAATAAACCTACATATTATTCTTTTTATTATACTGTTTTTCAAAAAAATGAATACATGTAGGCCTTCACAACATATGCGCTACTGTGGACACGACTTGTCATTTTACTATTAAGAAATGTTATTTGTTTTACCAAATAAACTATTACGAACTAATTACCTGTATAATTAAAACGTTTTAGTTTGTATGTAAAATGAATGCTCTGTTATGCGCACGTTTAGTGTTCCAAAATTTTGACTTCAAATTTTGCATTTTGCACGTGTTCATCTCTAAAGCAAATAGATTATTTTGTTTGAGGGTTTTCATTTAGCTTCTGCACAGGAGATACAGAAAGATAATTGGTGTACTGAGATGTTTGAGACATAGATGTAGAAAGTGTTTTGGAAGAGTTTGAGTATAATTATCACACAAAGATTATATTAAACATCAACATACAATCTTATCAATAAATGGAAGCGTAAACCATGTGTATTGGTTCACGTAAGATCAACATGCAGTGAGTTTCGTCGTACATAAAATTACACAATACAATAGATAATATTGACTTTCGTTAAACACGTTGGAATATAACAGTAAAATATTTATCGTTTTAAATTCAAATATTTCACCATAAAGTTTTTACAAAGAGATTAATAAAACCTGTTGCCACAGAAATATGTCTCGCCTTTATGTAAAAAAGTACGATACATATTGTGACAAAAAATTGTGAGCTTCTTGTTTTCAAATTCAGAAGATAACAACGACATATACATGCAGTGAATTTCGAACATACCAATTTTATCGTACATAAAATACAGATAAAATTGACTTTCATTATAATATAACAGAAAATATTGTTTGATTTAAATTCAAATTCATCAAAAAAAGTTTTGTTTAGAAAAGGATAAAAAAGACATAAGTCTCGCCTTTATGTAAACAGTATAAAAATATATCTAACTTCAAGACAATTTTGATAGTATAATGTAAATATTATAATTGAAATGGTAAAATGCTAACATTTAAACTATGCAAAACATTGAAAGTCAAAGAACCATGATTAAAGATGGAGTGTCAATTAACCTTCAGCGAAATAAAAACTACAGATGCTGATAAAACTGAATACTAAATACCGTTGACTTATTAATAAGAGGTTCCTTTTAAATTAACCCAAACATAAACTTATAAATAAGTAAACTATGCAAAGATTTCAGAGTCAATGAACCATGATGAGGGATATGGCCATAACACCTCCATAGATTTTGTATGTGCTATGCAAATATAACATTTTAACGTGTGGGTTTTCATTTTATGCGTGTTGAAATTCCCCTCTTATAATTACCAATGGAAAATGTGTAGGTATTAAAATATATGTGTTTGAATTTCATTGAACGTAAAATATTTAAGATTTTCAAGATTTGTGATACTTACTTCTTAAGATAACTAAAATAGAAAACACATCATGTATAATGAAAATCATCAGTTTGTTATGGCTATAAGAGTAAAAGTAAATGTAACAAACAGTACTGTAAAATATTGACAAATGATAGAATGTTGATATCAATTTGAATTAAAAGTTCGGTTTGGTATAAATCTACATAGTATTATATAAATGATCGCGACATATAGATGCAAAAAATAAACTTGATGTACTTATAAGTACAACGTTTTTAATATGCATTACGATAAAACAATACAGTATTTACGTAAATGATACAGCCAATACACAGAAAAATTGTCAACATCAGATGCTGTGGATTGTAAAACACTGAATTACACAACTCATTACATAATTATCGATAAGTACATCTTTTAAGTACAGTACAACCTGTGACATATCGGAAAAATGTTTACCATCTGCTATGTTCAACATCCAATGGTGACCATTTATTGGGGCTCATAAAACCTGGGATGTTGGCCATTAATTGGAGTCATAAACCAAGGGCGGTTGTTCAATCTAATTAGGTACCTGGACAGATGAACTGATTTTATCTATTGATTAACAAAGGTGTGTTAATAACATACTGCATCAAAACTTGACCTGTACAGCCTACCGTTCTTGAAGTATTTTTTTATTTGTATACATGTGATACTAGTCTTAACATTTTGTATTTTTATGTGATTAATTCACTTTCTCAAGCAGTGTGAACTATATATATTGTAGCAAATTCATTTGAATCTTCAATCTTTTTCATAATGCTTATGCCATAGGAGGTAAGGTGTTTTTTTTATTACATTTCCCCCCTAGGACTAAGTACAATGAAATAGGAAAAAAAATCACAGAAAAGACATACTACGCTATTTATGGTAATGTTTTTTTTTCTGTGATTTACAAAAGACTTCTTTCATTTTTTTTTCTGAAAATGTAAAGCAAGTTGTATACAAAACTTAAAATAAAATTATTAAATAATATTAATTGAAATTCTTTGGCAATATGACTTATTTAAAGTTTTCATTTGACTGGCTTCATGGTGTTAAGAAATATAGATCAACAGACAGAAAGCCACAAAAGAGATAAGACAGAAAGCTTAAGTTCTATAAGAAAATACTTCCCTTATTTAGGAATTAGTGACCATAATTTATAAATAGAAAGAGGTCAATATCAAGAATCGAATAATATGTAAACTTAGCCTCTTGCTGAAGGATGAAAAACACTTCCTCCTTGATCGTAAAATTAACAACAAAACTAAGGGATAATCTATTTGAAAATTGTTTACCTTCTCATAATTATGTCTCTTACCCGAGAACAATAAAAATTCAAAACAAAAGCTAAACCCCTATATCATGTTACATGTTAGAAATATTGGTTCCTTTATGAAACATTCTTTAGAAGTGAGGGCAGAGGTCTTAAATTTTTTTTTTCATGTGTTCATTTATTAAAGAATTGTTATTTCTTTGTGTCATTATTTTTGTGTTTTTTTTTTTTTGTCACAAACTAATTATGTTTATATGCCAATAAAGAAATTATTTAACTTTGCTGTATGCAATGTCAATAGAGAAAAAAAATGAATTGGTTACATTTTTTATAAATAAAGTCCTAAAGTAAATCTTAAACATTTGGTAATCAATGTTGAATGGAAATCAGTATATCTAAATCTCAACAATTTTGATTTGGGAAAAAAAATTGAAAAACACCTTTTTCAATAGAAAAAGGCAGACATTATAAGACCCATAGAGATTGGAGACTGTGCAAGTTTGCAATATATTAGCAGATGAGATTCATATATTTTTCATTTGCCAAAAAATACATGTAAGAAACAACTTAAATTTAGAGAAAAACAAACAGCCATGGCAGTATAAGCTACATATAAAAACTGAGTCATGATACACTTTTTTCTAAAAAAATATTATTTAGTTATATGTTCAAATGGTTTTATTATTCTATTGGAGTTTTGATTTTCTTGTCATTTCAGTAATGAAGTTTGACAAACACATATTGTTTCTGAGACATATATACATGTACATTTACAACGCACCTGAGACCCTTTACTTGTAATCTATTTAATGTTGTCACTTTAATGCAATCATTATTTCCCTTTACCCTTGATTAGGTTTTGATGTGTATTAATTAAGCAACAAGGGGTATAATGATGGACAAACAGGGCCATCATTGTGGACATAGTTTTTATGGCCACCATTAATAATAGTATGTCATAGGTAGTATTGTATTTACTGAAACACAGCTTATTTTATGATAAAATTGTTTATTGTGATATATACAGATATAGTAAGTTTGGTATGCCAAGGAATTTCATATTTAATATATGAAAACAATGGAAAATAGTTTTAAATTGAAAAAGACAACAACTGTCTTTTTATATATTACCAAAGGAGAAAAGATATGAATGAGAATTAACAAATATGTAAAAGAATGATAGATAACTAAAAACATTTACAGACAAACAAGTTAATGTTACACAGAAATCTGCTTATGGGGCAAATGAACACCAAGAAAAACCTATGTAAACATGAAAGAGAAAGGCAGTATTATTGACATTTCCTGTGTTACTTCAATTGAAAATGCTGATTACAAAAATGTAGCCAAACAATGAACTTTTTTAAAGCTGGTAGTTCAATTGAAAAAAAAACTAAAATATTCTAGTTTTACAATTATAAAACATATAGTGTAATCTTCCAACATAAAAGTTAAAGTTCTAAACATGTCTGTACAAAATAACGTTTTCTATAATATAGACTGAATAACCATGGAATATATGTTCTATATCACAATGTTTTAGAAAAAATAGAAAATGCAAAACAAATTATTTAAATAGGACAAATATTCTTTAAGGAAATGGATTTTTGTACACCAGTGTTATAGCTTTAACGAAATTAACCACAACGCGACCTTACCAATAGTTCCAAAACCTCAAAATGAATGAAGTATATTTAGTTGATGTTTTGGACTCTTTCATCCCTTTATACTTGTTATAGGATTTTTTAGTATCGGATTCAAAAACACAATTTTTGATATGATATGCAATGTATTGCAAAAGACTGAATCCTGGTTTCTTGACTTTAAGTATCGAAGAAATAAACACAGGATGTGTCAAGGTGGCCTGATATAACTTGTGAAATGCAAATCATAAGACAAATAAAAACGAAAACTGATAACCATTGCATGTCAATGATGCTAAATAGTCATGTGGAAATCACATTTGCTTGAAGATTAGATATGCATTCCTCTACATTAACCATTAACAGTTGATAAGTGTTTTATTAGAAAGACGTTTAAATTTGTGTTATCTATCTTATACGATTTCACAATATCTTTAAAATCACTTATCTTAGAAACTTATATAAAAAAATGTATGCACGTTTACAGAAGCTAATGTTTTAAATGGAATTGCAGGTTGTAAAGTCAATTTAATGTTTTTAACTGAATTAAAAGGTTTTACATATTATTCTTATAAAATATTATACATGTATACTCACTCTTTAGCTTTTTTTCTATAAAACAAAAACATGATAAAAGACTCAGCTACAATTGAAATACATTTAACAGTAATTACGTTAGTTAACTCAAAACTGTTACATTACACTGTTTTACTTTTGTTTTGATAAAGAAATTTGTATGTAAGTTTTCTTAAAAAAAATCATATTTTTTTAAATAATCAACAGATGATCGTCTGTAAGACCTGATCTATATGTTGTTCATTTTCGTATTTGCCACATGTTATTTTCCTGTAACAGAAAGCATGTCTGTAAAAAATACAATTTCAAAGCACACATCAACTCTTATTCTATTTAATCTTAATATCTGTATTTTTTTTTGGTCGAGTTACTGTATTTTGAAATAAAGCTTTATATCATTTTCCTTGATTAAAGTGACACCAAGTAAATGAACCAAACATTTTCATCAACTTTAGTCAAAATACATGTTTATTTAACTTAAGTCGTTCCCAATTTATGAATGATTGATGCTCAATATGTAGTTGTAGATATATTCTGATACTTACTCAGAAAGTTTTTCTCCCCTGAAAATGAATAGACAAGTATCTTTTGTAAACGTATTTTTATTCAAATTAATTTCGAAAGGTAAATCGAATTAATTTTCTACATAGGGAAATGCCTGTACCAAGTCAGGAATATGACAGTTGTTTTCCATTCGTTTGATGTGTTTGAGCTTTTGATTTTGCCATTTGATAAAGGTCCTTACGATTTGAATTTTCCTTGGAGTTCGGTATTTTTGCTATATTACTTTTGAAAACGTGTGCTATGTACTGTTGGTTTTCATCTATTATATATGGTTAAATAATGATTTGCATAGGGTTGAAAGTAATCTTGCAAAATATATTGTTTCCTTTCGTATACAGTACATTGGAACAACGCTATTATAAATGAGTTATTTGCCATATTTTTCTTCATTTCCTCTCATTTTCTGGTTTTATTAGACCTTTTCTTCCATCATTGTTTCTTTTTTCAGTCTTTTTCTTTTCTCTTATCGTTTTTATCGTTCTGAACCTATGGTGCATGGCTTTCTAAATTATTTAATCTTTGAATTGGTCTTGTGTCAGGTTGTTCCCATTTGTTCTCAGTTCATATTTCTAAACTTTTATTTATTCTATGTTGTGCAGTGTATTTTCTAGTCAGAGTATAACTAATTTTTTTACCTGAGATTATCAGAGCTAACCCTTATTGGTATTCATCAGAGGGAGTGTTTTTAATAACACCTTGGCATATCCAAGCATCTTCTCACATTCAACCCAGAAAGAACTTTATTCTTACCCACAATACTCGCATACGTATCTGTACAATGTCTTTGTTGACGGTTTTCTGAAATCAGAGAAATGAAAATATAAACTGATGAAATGGAAAACATGAAACGATAAATACACATAACCATATTAAAAAAATGTGCGTGTGTTTTGCTATATTTGTTTAAATATCTATTCAATAGGTCACTCCATGTTTTTCACAGAATGTCCATTTAATTTATTTCATCTTGAAAAATTTCCAATACAATGCACACATGTTGCAATTATCAACGTCTTAGTAGTGAACATAATCAGCTGTTTAATATAAAAGGATTTATACAGCGACAGACACTTACATGGAAAGAATGCTGTTTAACACCATTTAAAGTGGGTAAGAAAAGTTTGGGTTTTTTTTTTTGTGGAGCGAATATATTGTATTGAACTAAGTTTCATTGGGCCCATGCAAAGGTCAACAACTAAAGTTTGGCAGAAGGTTTTTGGTGCATGGAAATCCCTTTTTGAAATTCGAAAACCAATATATGTTTATAAAATTATATCTTATCCCTTGTGAGAGGGAGAACGTATTTATTATATAAACTGGGCTAAAGATTGAATTACGACAGTACATAAGAAAATAATGTCATTTAAAAATTTCCAACTTTATCTCAATTGGGACAATTTAAAAAGAATGGACTAGCACACTTACTTAAAGAGAGGTTGAAAGCTATTAACATCGACACAAAGGTGAAAAGATCTCAAGCAATGCTACCGTTTAATATAAGCAATATCTTTAGATAAAAAAAAAAAATTCAAAGGACATCTGTAAGGTGATCAATAATTGAATGAGAAAAATATTACATTTGCTGCAAAGGAAAACTGAGAAACCATCTTTATTTTATAGGTATCAACTAGAAAAAATATACCCTTTATGTACAAAGTATATTATTAACACAAAGCGCTGCTGGTTCCAATATAGAATTATCCATCGATTTTTTTTAAACTAAAACACTACTTAATAAGATGAAAATAAACAAAAGTAATAAATGTAAATACCGTAAAAAAATAACAGAGACCATAAAAGATCTTTTTTGGAGTTGTCATAGGTGTCAGACCACCAAATCACCCATTACAATTTAGAACATATCTTAACGTAGCCCTTCCCTGACAAAAAAATGATGCGTTTGATGTCATTTTTTACTTAAACTAACCAAAAATTTACACATATGGAAATTTTGGTGAAAGAGAAATATATGTAGACCATTTTGAGCTTAAATTTACCTATCCATGAGTTTGCATTGAAAATTAAGGATTATCGCACTCCATAGTATACTATATACATATATCTTGCTTATAAGGAGTATTTGCCAAAAAAAATACCGGTTGAGAGGTAAACAAATTTCGAGTGCCGTAAGACGAAGGAAATTTGTTTACCTCCATCTCAATGAAAGTCTAGAGGTCTTCGGACGTCGCGTTATTTTTAGACATGGTATTTCCTATCTGCCGTGATATTTGTTAGGACATACTCCGGCACATGGAATTCCCTAAAGACAAAAATATCGGCATCGAAAAGAAATTCTCAATATATAGAAAATTGGTGAAAAATACAATTTCTCTTATCCAATCAAAATACAGTTTTATTACATAAGGTGGAATTATAATTTAGAATTTCCAGAAAACCGGGGGTTATTTTTAGTAGTACTTGGGTTCCGAACGTGAGTTCTTCGTAAGAAGACTTTAAACATGGGTTGAAAATTGTCATTTAGAAAGGTGATGCATGTATGATTCAATATATAGATATAGGAAGATGCCAATGAGACAACTGTCCATCCAAGTTACAATTTATAAAAGTAAACCATTATAGGTCAAGGTACGGCCATAACACGGAGCATTGGCTCACACCGAACAGCAAGTACCTGGTTTCTATGAAGTTAAACTTAAGGTAAAATATATAGACAGCTTTGAAAATTACAAAGTTTTGTTGAACAGATAGGTTTTGAATTTGTGGTCTGAATCCTTTAATGGTCTGCAGTTTTTAGCTTGCATCAAAAATTTGATTTTTGAAAGTACACACATTGAAATGCTCTTTTTTGTACACATATAAACGTTTTATTTCTAAATATTTCCTGTATCCAGGTAACAAGCTAATGGTCCCTGTTTACAATATTAACCATCTATCCAGGGGTAATGGAAGACTTAAAATGTAGTCCACTTTTAACCTTGTATTTACAATTAGTTTCAAAAATATATCCACATGATGTTAGAAGCATCCAACTCCATACATTAACTTCAACATAGTAAGTAATTAATAAGATACCCCCACAAAAGATAAAAAAAAACACTTTTATATCGTCTTTATATGTATGTATATATTGATAAAATCTATAGTCTTATACAATAAACCATAAAAAAATACTTTGTCTTTTAACTTAAGTTAAATATTGTATTTATTGTCTTAATTTTCATTGTCACTGACTTCAATTTTGTCTTATCGATGATGTCAATGCATTTAAATTGAAAAACAATTTTTTTTTTAAATGCCTTTTAATATCAAATTTTACTTATTTGATAACTTTGAAAATCTAAAATTGAATTTTGTTAAAAAAAAGATAGTTTGCTAATAGTTTTAAAATACTCTATTTACCAAACAACATTTCAGGAGGTTTTTTTTAAACTTATATGCTTTTACAAATTATGTAATGAAAAGCAACTTAAAAAAAAAACACATTTCACTCAAAACCGTCGATAAGGATAATAATACAATTACTGGAGTTACCCATAGTAGAATAAATTATAGATGTGGTAAATATGCTGTTCTGTATGACGTTGTTCATTTATTGTGTGCAAGCCTATGTGTTATAATTAATCAAATTCATTATAGAAAGTAAAAAAACATACTGATATCATTCTAGTTAAATACCAAATGTTTGAAATCTAAACTAGGATGAACATATATAATGGTGCAATTTTAATGGTTTTTACTCATTGTCATCATTTTCTGACGACAGCTCATGATTAGCTCTGACTGTTAAGAGAATACATTAAATTCAACCGAGGAAGAGAGATACCAAAAGAACATTCAAACTTATAAGTGGACAATAAACTGACAACACCATGGCTAAAGAGAAAAAGACCAACAAACAAACCATAGTACACAAAACACCACATAGAAAACTAAAGACTGAGCAACACGATCCCCACCAAAATCTAGCGGTGATCTCGTGTGCTCCGGAACGGTAAGCAGATCCTGCTCCACATGTGGCACCCGTAAGGTTGCTCATGTTAGTACAAACCCGGTAATAAGTCTTATTCGGTAGGTCACATTCGGGAAAAGGGGATGGTATTGTAGTTACGACTTTAGAAACATATCCATTATCATCTGTGAAACGGATATTCCATAACGGTCAACCAACTCGTGATTGCGCTCGTCAAACTTACGAAGGGATGATTAAAACTTCACCATTTCGAACTCTTGGTTTAATAGCTTCATTGTGAGAAACAACCCTCTATCAAGGCAAAAATGATAGGAAATACAAGCCCGGGAATATCGTATCAACTTGGAGATATATACTTCGTATGCTTCTGTGCAAAGTAAAACAAAATATATACTCCGTATGTATCTGCTCAAAGTAAAAAATGTTTCCTTCCAAAATTAAACACATAATAGGGAACATATATTGATTATTATGAGTACACTAAAAAGTACACAATATGACATATGCAAATCATAGTGTATGCGTGTACAAACTGTCTCATTGGAAAATTATACCAAATCTCCATACCTTTAAATTTACTTCTATTCATTATCAGTTTACACTATATTCCATTCATTATTATAGTGAATTATGTTAAAGTTAAAGGTTGACCCGAGAGGGTTTCAAGGAAAAAATATCTTATACACTCTTGGTTAAACATTTTTGCATCGTTGTTGTTATTATCTCAAAAATGTATACGCCCAAATTCTTTAACATTCGATGGTACTTGCTGTGCGTTAATCTAGGTCACGTGTTGTACTCCAAGAAATGAAACACCAAACACTTTGCATCGATCATCACTAAAAGAACATTAGTTGTCAACATGCGCATCTGGTAAAGGTTAGTTGGTACAGTTTATGGTATCATACTTTTTAAACATTAAAGAGCTATTGAAAATGATCATAATCAAAAACATTTGATTAATCTATATTATAGGTTGCACTTTGTCAATACAGCTGTTTCACAAACCACGCCTCTTTTTGGGAGATATATACTATTCATAGATATTGTGTTTTGGTTACGTACTGGTTCCCAGATATGATCTCTATGTTTCATCTCATAGAGACATAACTTCGGAATGATACCAGTATAAATGCACATGATAGGCGGTGGAATTGAATTCTGAGAAAGACCTAATGTGAATGGAAGGGTAGTGCACAATTATAGTATAAGTTTAAACTCTTAGAAGTTCATGGCATATAAATGTTGAAAATATGCAGCACAGCCCTATGCTTTGACCTTTGAATAAAATAGTATCAACTTCCCATTCTAGGATATAACTTTTTACGAAACTTCATAGTAAAAGGTGGCACAGTTTTAGTCGTTAAGGGAGTTCCTATGGGAAATTACATTTTCTATATTTACAGAAATACAAACTATATAAGGGAGATGTAAGATTTTGTAAAATAAATACCTTTGTCGACCAGATCACAAATCTTACATCTAATGTTTTACGCAAAAGTAAATAATATATGAATGGGACAACCCAAATAAATCAGTCCAAGATGAACAGATGATACCATAAGAAAAAAGAACATATGATACCAGGAGAAACTAGAGGCTCTTAAGAGCCTGTGCCACTCACCTTGGTCTATGTGCATATTTAACAAAGGATACTCTACAACATTATAGACGAGAATAGAATTCATGACAGAAATCTCTGTTATGTTGATCTTGTATTACTGATACTTTAGTCTGTTTAAGTTCTCTCTATCTTCTTTAGTTTTTACTCAAAACACAAAAGAGGGTAAAAACAATCCTCATTTAAGGGAAATCACTCATTTAAAGAGTGACAGTCGACTAACTATATCGGCAAAATTTGACTTTTTAGTAGATCTTGCCTTTTTTTTATCATTTTTGTGGTTTAAAGTGTCTATTAACTGTTTACAAAAATTTGAATGTATGAAATACTTAGGCTTTTCTACCTAAGGAATAAATTACCTTAGCTGTATTTGGCAAAACTTTTAGGAATTTTTGGTCCTCAATGCTCTTCAACTTCGTACTTTATTTTCCCTTTTTAACCTTTTTTTATTCGAGCATCACTGATGAGTCTTTTATAGACGAAACGCGCTTCTGGTGCAAATACAAAATTTCAATCCTGGTACCTAAGATGAGTTTATTTATCTATCATAATTTTATCATCTAATGCAAGACATGGTAAAAATCATCTTTAAGGGCAATAACTCCAATAAAAAGTCGTTGGACGATTTTCTCCAAATTGTCTTAATTGTAGATCTTGTTTTGCTGATCATTTCTGCTCATTTAAGTTTCTATCTATCTATTAATTTTTTTTTAATTATAAGGCAAAAACGATAAAACGGTAAAAATCTTCAAACCAGGGCAACATTCTAATAAGGAGTCGACTGACAAATTCGACCATCAAAATTATTTGTAGAACTTGTCTTGCTGATCGTGTTGGCAACTTAAAGTTTCTCTCTATCTATTTTTCAATATATAGACAAAACGAAAAAAAAAAATGGTAAATTTGTCATTTAAGGGCAATAACTCCTATCTGAAGTTGTCTGACAGTTATAACGTATATGAACAATTGATAGAGCTCAACATTCTGAACAGTTTTTGCCCTATCAGATTTTCTCTATTTATAACGGTTTTCAAAATAATAGACAAAACTTGCATTTTACCCCTATGTTCTTTTTTTAGCCATGACGGCCATCTTGGTTGGCAAACAGGGTCTTCGGACACATTTTTAAACTAAATCCCCAAATGATGATTATGACCAAGTGTGGTTAGATTTGGCCCAGTAGTTTCAGAGGAGAAGATTTTTGTAAAAGTTAAGGACAACCAACGACGACGACGGACGACGGACGACGGACGACGGACGACGGACGACGGACGAAAAATGATGAGAAAAGCTCACCTGGCACGAACAGATGATACCATGCGAAAAAAGTAACAAATGTTACCTTGAGAAAAAAAGGAACAGGCAACAACAGTAAACAAAAATACTACCAAACGCATATAAATGAGCTACAGAAACTCAATCAATTCTTAGTGGGTAATGACTCTGTACAAAGGCAGAAGTGACTGTTCTGCTATTATAAAATGACAGTCATTGAATAAGTGTATATACAGATATGGATACAATCTACAAAACAACCACTGTTTTATATATCAAATGCAATATCGGTAATTACATTCATATATGTATTGAATTTACCGCCTACACCATGACGCTGAACTGCAAAACATAAACATGAAATGATTACAATAAAACCTGTATTTCTTCTTAATTTGAATGTTGTATTTAGTGACGCATTTATACATGTTATTTGTTATAGTTATTTCTCAGTTATAATATGACTGATGTCACTTGTGGAAGAGAAACTGCTAGCACTTTCAAAGGACATTGCTTCGTCCCAATTTTTATATGGTGAAGTGTCATGTTGCTCGATTTATAAGATACATGCAAACAATTGAAAATGACACTTTATGTATGACCACAACATCAGTGTAGAGATTTCGTCAATCGAATATTGAAGAACATTGATACGTTCAATATGTTGTTCAAAGTTTATTGTGAATATCCCTTAACCAAAAACATGATAAAAGGACTGTTCTGTTTAATAAATTAGGATGTATCTTCTAATTATAAGGGACATACCTGGTATCCTTCTTTGGCGTCTGCTCTACACTGTAAACCATTTCTCTGAAGAAAAGCAAAAAAAAGGAAATATTTATAGGTACTCATATTTCTCCTCGTACTACAATTATATGAGTTCATGGTGTAAAATGGAAATGCATTTAATCGTTAACGCTAAAACCCATAACGCGTATCTTAAAAGATTTTTCAATTTCAAGTCCTTCCAGTCTACTGTATGTGCGTTTTCCATATTTCATATATCTTTTGCTTACGTGGGCCCTTATTGTGTCGTTCGTTTACCAGCGACTGTGTTCTTGCACACCATATGGTGCAATGCTGTGTAGCGTGTTTGTCCGGTTCTTTGTAATATAATGTGCAACGAGTGTCTTAACTGTGTTCAGTATTTGTTTACACTGTACACCATGAGCATTAGCTTATGCATTTATCGTGTGCTGTGTTTTCGTACATTATTTTGCAAGTTTAAGTGTATCTTTAATGTAGCGTGAACAGCTTGTCAGTAAACAGTTTAGTCATGTTCTTTTTCATACTTGTGTATGTGAACAGCCTTTCAGAAGCTAATTTTTATATTTTGTATATAACTACACAGTTAACTAAAGTAATCGTGTGAACTTGAAAATAAAACTTAAAATTCAAGTGAATTTTTGAAATCTTGTTTTCAAAATTGTGAATAAAATTATTACTAATTTTTTTCGAAAAGGAAAATATGATTACACAATTTGTTTAAGATAGTTACAAATTACATTCAAAATAAACACAAATGCTTTTACATAGATTCATGCATGTATCGTTATGCCTCTGATATTAGTGTTTTGTATTTACACTACTTTCCGTAAGTCTATGTTCTAAATTATTGAATTAATGATCATGTGTTCAACCTTCACTCACAAAGATCTGACAAAGCAACGTCTACTTTCTGATTTAAAGAGCTTTGAGGATTCTGATTTAATGATTCACATCTTGAAAACTGTTGAGGCAGAAATTTAATTGACTCATGTACTCATTACTACTAGAACAGAAAGTAGAACGGAGTGTTGTCAAATCCTGCTGAGCAAAGCGTAGACCCAGGATCGGTATAAGAGTGGTGTGTATCACCCATATGTGTACCTCCCTGTTAATGTAATTGCCTTAGTAATCACTTGATGCAATTGTACATGTGCATCACGTGTTATCTCTAATTCATCTGAGTGTAACATGGAAAGCATGTAAATATAACGGTAGATGCGTCACGGCGAGATACGAATTTCAAATGTGTAATATTAACCAAACCATTTTAACTTATAACAACGTCATTTATTCATTAATTATATAATTAACTGAATATATGTGAAAACAAACTATTGGCATAACAACACTTGTCTAGAGTTAATAACTTACTGGAACGATATGACTCCAAATAGATTGAATATTTCTCGCTCTGATACATTCTTTTTGTTATATTTCATAGTCGGCATGACCGGTGGCTGCTTTTCATCGCCAACATCTAACTCGGATTTAATATGTTTTAATCGTGTCAGAAGTTTAGTAGCATCGGTAACTTTCTGGCTCTCGGTAAAGGCAGTTTGACATTTCTGGAACTTCTCTAAATCATTTTGAAACCCAGTTCTTATTGATTGAAAGACCTTCACGTTAGCTGTCTCTTTTTCTTCCAATGATGTAATGAGGGCTTGAACTTTTTTGTCAATCCACTGCTTCATCTGTTTTCCATCTTCTGTAATAACACGAATAGCTTCTTTTACGTCGCTCTGGTACTTTCCAGTGCCTTGTTCAATTTTGGCTAGATTTGTTTTGACGGATTTAATCTTCGAGTTAATTGCCCTTTCCACTTCAGCCTGTAATTCCTGTGTCGATTCGTTGATTTCAGACGTTTCATGCTTTTTGTGCTTTTTTACAATACACATTTTACATATTGGTATAGCACAATCAATGCAGTAAAATATGAAGTTTTCGGTGTGTTCTTTGCATAACAGTTTTTCTTCCGGGTTTATATTTTGCCCACTAAGAAAAGTATGATTTATACTTATTTTTGACCTTAAATGTAAAGTTTTACAATTTCCACACATTCATTGATCGCATTGTTCACAATAGTTATGTCCTGGTCCGCTCATACAGATATCGCAGGACTTCGAAGCGGATTGTGCCATTTTGGTTGGGTTTTTTTTAAGTTACCTTGACACAGGTTATGTCTAATCAATAATCGACTTCGGACAAGTAAAACAAGAAGTTACGGAAATTGCAACCATATGTGGATTAATTTTACGCATATGATTATAATGATATGTATCGATGAAAATGTTAAGGTTTGAATTGAGTCTGATTCAAAATACAAAATGTGTAAGGAAGTTTGTAACGTGTTTGTTTACTCTTAAATGTGTACTATTTATAGATATTTTAATGTCCATACCTGAGTTCCGACGTACACGGTATCTCACCTTTATTAATAATCTGTTAAAGCAGGTAAACTATTGAAATGTCTATACCTGAGTTCCGAAGTAGACTGTATCTTATTATAATTAATGTTCAAATCAAGATGATAAAATGTTGGCCTAGAGGGACAACTGAATACACTAATATCACCAATTTTACAAATCTGCAAATTAGGGGTTATTATTTTCCCAGTTCAAATGATTGTATATGTGCTGAATTTAGCTATCCTTATACTTTAACAGTACGCATTCTCATTCGTTGATATTCGTTTATAAGTGGGTTTAAAAAAATGGAGTATTAAGTAATAGTGTTTTCACATATATGTATATTCACCAATCACTCTGTGTATTCATTGACGAAACTGAAACATTAATCATTACACAGTTGCATCCAGAAACTTATTAAGGTGAAAATAGTATCTGATACTTACCTACAAGATCTACATTCCTACATGTGCATTGTATTTGTAAGCTGTTTTTTACATAACAAAAGAAAAGAAAACGAATGCACCTATGCGTTTTTCCGCCATTATAGATAAACTAAATATGACGAAATTTTTAATGTGTAATCTTTATTTTTGTAAACATATTTAAGTAGGATATTACACCAAGATTTTCGTTTTGCAAATTTATGAATACAACGATAGTGACATATTGATCTTTCTCTGGTATAAAACTGCAATAATATATACAACGCAGTTATAATAAAAAGGTTCAGATTGTAAAAATCATTTAGGAATAAGTTCCCTATATGTATAAAAATAAAGATGTGATATGATTGTTAATGAGACAACTCTTCACAAGAGACCAAATGACACAGAAATTAACAACTATAGGTCATCGTACGGCCTTCATCAATGAGCAAAGCCCATACCGCATAGTCAGCTGTATTTGTTTAGAGTCTTTCTTCGACCTTGACAGTATCATCGGGGGAGGTCAGAGTACCCAGCGAGAACCACCAAACATTACGAATTGAGAACAAAAACTGGTAAAAACGAACTAAAAAAAAAGGTTATGTATGTGAATAGATTAATGTATTAATTTGGTATATGATAAAGGTAGAGGTAAATTTAGACAGAAAAGCTGTATTTCTCAATACATATTTTTTGAACGTATATTACATGTACTTTAAATGTAAAAAATCAGCTCGCTATGAAAGGTGTTTCTAGATTCAAAATGATATATGTTTTCTAATATCTAATAAGCATCACTGCTTTCCTTCATATAAACAGTGTAAGATTATATCCTTATAGCGAATTTTCTTATTGATATGCACAAAAAAAATGATTTCAACATATATCACTTTCGCATTATTATTAAAATATATGTTTAATAAATAATTAAAAATTACCAGACAACATTTGCAAGAGGTTCTACTGATTTAAAAAAAAAGATTACAAAATGTTTTGTCAAATACTGCTAAGGTGATCTATTCCTGGGGTAGAACATCCTTAGTATTTCCAAGAAAAATAATGTTTTGTAACCAGTAAATAGCGACACGTGATTAGTTGAATAACAATAATTATATACTTTCTAGACATTATTTTTCCATAGAAGGTAACGATCGTATTACTCGTTTTATTTCCGTCAGAATGACGTATTGGGTACAATATGAAGATATGATGTGTGGAATAAAATGTATAAATACTTTGTTAAAGTTTATTCACATTTCAAACTTAATGTCATAGATTTATTTCGGAAAATACCATTTGGTATTTTTAAGACTTAACCTTACAAAAAATGCATGGCATAATGACTTAACATTACGAAAAGCTTTAAGGTAAAACGATTTATTACTACGTTGTATGGGTTTAGATTTACTAAAAATCCCAAACCTGATCACACTTCTCAACATTGGACTAATCAGACATTCTTTTATTTTTTCTCTTTTTTTCGGTGGGAGGGGGGGGGGGGGGGGGGGGGGGGGGTGGAGGGTGTTTCTTTTTCCATTACCTGTATGGATATTGAGTTCTTACACGATTTATTCAATATATCACTTAACCTATTAAACTTTTCAAATCGACTGTCAAATATATAACATACGCAATAATAATCAACTTGACATCATACACATCTATCTCTAACTTTATTGCATGATCTATTTATATGCATATTCAATTAGTTTACAACGAACTATACATACTTGGAGTGCTTTATGAAAATCCATTCTGCTCTTTTGTTACTTCCATTGTACTTCTGTCTTTTTCAACTTTTAAGAGCCAAATGCAACTGGTGCAATGCAAAGGAACTAAATTTTGTGGAATAATGTCCATGTGTAAGCAAAATATAGGGTTTGTTTGGCAAATGTAGATTCAGAGCAATTCTGTATTTATCTTGGATTTCTATGAGCAGACAAATCAAGTTACAACCTAAAATGACAAAAAAACTTCACATGGGTTCTGTTACCAATCCTAACTATGCTGATCATTTTACATTCGTCAAGTATAAATTATAATATACCAAAATAGTATGAATTCAATATAAACATTTCATTTTTAACAACATGTGACACATGAAGTTTAAGTACATAATGAACATCTTACGGAAACTATATTTGGGAAACTAATCCGAGGAATCTGTGATGAAGATTATATTTTATTTTGAATACATTTGATTTGCAAATATTAAGGCATCTATAGCAAGGGCTTATACATGTCATACATTTTTTTCAAGTAAGGTTAATTAGTCCAAGTACATTTTTATATTTTTTTATCTTGATGATATTTATATCTGTATAATCCCATTAATCAAAACACGTAGAAAAAAAATAAATGGTTAATTAACAGATTTCCTCCTTTTATCATCGCCTATATTGCTTTATGATTTTTTAAAGCTTCTTATGAAGGAAATGGCAGATTTCATCTTTTCCAAACAGTCGTCAACAGTTTGATCTTAATTCTAAACCATTCTAAAACATATAAAAACGGGTATATAATGTCCCTTCACATTTAATTAATGGTTTTAGACCACATTTGAGTTAATCGTCCCATATTATATAGTTTGGTATGATTTATAAAATAGATCAGTGCTAATGTATCATTTAAAATTTTAAGTGCACATCTTCCATATCAGATTTCTTTTCTTCTATACATTTTTAAGATAAATCATATCTTTATCAATGCACTAAAAATGACGAAGACGGGGACGTCGTTCATTAAACCACTCATTTATGCACTGCCACTCATAGTCAACTACTGTCAGACGTCTTTGACTATAAACTATTCCTCATTTCCTTTTCAATTGTATTGTATAAAAAAATGATTTAAATGAATTACATGAAATGTACTCATTGCTAGTAAAATCCCTTCATAACTTTTACCCGCATTTTATACAGGAGAACGTGTTTTAACGATTTGAGTTGAATGGGAGAGTGATGCTCTTTTTTAAGTTCTTGTGTTTGAATATCGTAGTCATGCAAACTATCCAGTGGTAAAACAATAGTGTTGGTAGAGCTAAACAGTCTTCAAAACGGTATGGATTTTTCTCATTGTTGAAGGCCGTACTGTTGCCTATAATTGCTTACATCTACTTCATTTGAACTTTGGTGGATAGTTGTCTTATTAACAATCATACCACATCTCCTTATTTTTTTTAATATCTACCTTATCGAATGAATTAAATAATCATTTTGTGGGATATATTTCTTCGACAACGTAACATTGACCTCGACAATTGTTTGCTTCAGCAGGACAAAGTTGAAATCAGAGGAGTATCACGGTAAATGTATCTAACAATATATTATTGAAACATACTTTATTGTAATAACTTGTGTAGATGCAATATCTTCTAGAATTATTTCAAGTTATATTCGCTTACAGATTGCAAGGAAAACCCAGGATTTCATACACAAGAGTTGATACTAATGAATCGCTTAAAGGAACTGTTAGGAAGGTAAGAACGTTTGTGCAAAACACGGATATACACCATTCCTCTAAATTTAATAGAGAGAATATTAAACTTCTGATTAAGAGAGTTTATTACTTTTTAGTCATCAACATACGCTTAAAAGAGGAGCGAAAGATACCAGGGGGAACTCAAACTCATAGATCAAACATAAACTGACAACCCCATAAAATATAAGTGTTACGAGAAGCATCAACAAGGTGATAATATTTCTGATCATGACATTTAAAAGTAAATTGAACAGTTTCATCTTCTAACTGCTGTTGGAATATTTCAAGTGGCAGTTACAAAATGCGTTCTGATGCCTACAATACAATGAGTAAATAATCAAATAACTTGATAGGCTAGGCTATAGTTGGTACTGGAATGAGAGCGCTATATTTGACGGTCACTTGAAAAGGCCGATACATTAGATTTGATATGGTTATGTCGTACCACAGGTCATATATGTCAACTTTTATGATTTATTCAAGTTATCTTTACAACATGATGTGTTTGATAATACAACCACCTCTCTTGGTTGAAGGTAAAATGTTCATATACTAAATGTACGGATTATCAGGTATTGTATCTTACTAACTACTGTGCCCTTGAATACTTTTCTTGGCGGATAAGTTTCAAAAAAATTTGCCAAATGATATGAAATTATTTACTTTTCCACTTTAACTCATGCATATGTTTCCTTAAATACGGTAAAAATAATCCAGCAATCATGTAATATTATGTTTTAATTTTGTATATCTGTATCAAAAATTTTTCAGCCGCTTTATTACAATTACGCTTCAAAGTTAAAATATAAAAATAGAAAGATAATGTATAATTGCCAATAAGACAACTCTCCACCAGAAACCAAAATGACATCAAAGTTAACAACTAGCGGTCTTGTAAGGCCTTCGAGAGTGTGCAAAACCAAATCAGAAAGTAAGCATTGAATAGCCCCAAAATGACAAATGTTTTCCTGTCTAAATCCTGTGGTTCTCTCCTAGGAAACTTTGGCTTCCTCTATCAATCAAATATCACAATAGTCCTAAAAGTAGAGTTTAACACTAATCAATAAATCTATCAATCCTCATGTTTCTTCAAGAATTTGCGAAACTAATACCATATGATAAGCTGTTAAAGGCCCAGAAATAACAAATGCTTTGGTTCTTATTCACCCTTAGCTTAAAAATATTTGACTCTGAGCGTTCTGTATGACGGGAAATCAATGTAAATCCAGTAAGTGCTCGAGTTGATATAAATACGAGATCACAATATTTCTATAATATTCGATAATCTTATTATTGCAGAATGCCAACAAATGGGAAGTATGAATTCAACTCAACAAACCAAAGAACAATGTAAGTGTGTATCAAAGACCTATTAAAGACTTCCGGTGTTTATGTTAAGTACAATTAAGTAAACGCCTATCAAACAAGCAATGTTAATGGTTCTCGTCAAAAGCTAAAACACATCAATCGAATGGAAAAGAACTGTCATATTCCTGACTTGGTACAGGCATATCCTTATTAGAAAAAAAGTGGAGTAAACCCGGTTTTCTAGCTGATTAAACCTCTCATTTAGTTTGACACTCGCATTAAATGAGGAACATGTTACTCCCAGATATTTGAAAAGACAGCAAAGAGAAGCTGAAGTATGATATTCATCTGAATTTCATCTAAGACATATCATTTAACAAGAATACTGGTTTATCAAGGGTGTTCCTTTTTTTAATGGTTGTGTTTGTGTCAACTTTGTAATTATTTTTAGAGGTTTAGTAATGTTGTTTATGTTCTTGTTTTTACTTGTTATGTGCTTTTAATTAATGATCAATTTTGTTAAACTTATCACATTTAAGAAATGCGTTGTTCTTTTATATTTCAGAAAATCGTATAATATAAATAACAGCCAAGTATTCTTCAATAATAAATCGTTGATTCGCCATGGAAACTTAGACGACTGCTGATGACTTTAAGTACTTGAACAGTAGAAGTTATATTTTTTGTTATGTTACAAGTTTACTTTGTTATTATTAAATTATATGTATATTTGTTATCTTTATTAACACTATTTATGCCATTACTTTTTTTAGCCCCTGGCAATTGTTTATTAAATTTGTTTATTAACCTTGAGTTTTACGGCTCATCGGTGTATTTAAACGCACTATATGCAAATGACATATTACAAACAATATAAACAATATGCATTAATAGCAATAGGTGATGTCAGAAGTTTCAAGTTGAAAACATTCTTTACAATAACCGGTCTTCTTATTTAAACGAGAAAGGTTTTAATTACGTTTAAAGTTTAAAAACTTGCTTTTTTCATCAACTAATAGTACATATTACTGTAAAATTTGATGACCCAATCCTTTATCATTTCTTTATATATTTTCAAGCAAATCGGTACATCTGCACGCCAATTAAATGTATTTTCATGTATGTTAGTTCCAATAAAACGTCCTGTTTCAATACAAATAATTGTGAATACAAACGAATCTTTGTTATACATTTGCTAAAAAGGAAAAGGTATGGAATACATTTCTGTAAATATAATTATAAATACTTCCATATTTATTCGTGATGTATAATCTAGCCTTTGAAGAATAATTGTAACTCCTGTTTAGCCTTCGTTGTATAATTAGAGGTAAATATAACCTTTCAACTTTCAACAGCTACTGATTATTACACAAATTATTTATACCATGAATACAGGACAATTAAGGTACAAATGTTGCCCAGCATTTACATTCTACACATGCTTTTTAAACCGAGACCTAAATATACAATAATCACTTACTAAACATTTAAACCATAATTTTAGTATTCTAAAATTCCCTTCATACTAAAATGGAAATTTACCTTATGCATAGTAGACCATTTAATTCAACCACCACCCCACCCCTCTTTCGTTATATTATGCATACTTTTAGTTCACTAATAAATGAACTTTGGCATACCAGCACATGCAATTGATTTATTTTAATATTTTGTTTTTCATAAAAATGTCGAAATGAAGACTGCCACAAGGAAGCAAGAGTAATTTAAGTATTTAACGGTCATTTTGATCTCAACTTAATCTGAAAAGTCTAAACTATTAAGCATTATGTCATGTTCAGTCTTTCGTTCAATATTCAGACTTTGCCACTTAGTAAATTCAATATTGTTAAAATTCCGGCTGTTGGAATTGAAACATAGAAACAACTTAATTAACGTATGTCCAACACACCAATGCCAAATTGAAAATAACATTCTTTTTGAATGAAAATGATACTTCATGAATTTCGTGCGTTCGAAGCACTTCTCTGGATTTACTTTCATATGAAACAAAACATTTGCAAGTAAAGGATGTATGAATATGTAGAAAATAGCCACCTTTAACAGAAGAAGCTGTGCTTTGTTTTATAAAATCATCAGGGGATAGTTTTATAAAATATATCTAAAATCGTGTAAAAGTTCTGGCTGCTGAACTAGAGATACTACCCGCGGGATAGATATACATATATTTTGATTGAGCATGCAACAATGGTTACCCATGAAAATATATAACACACCAATGAACAACGACTGCTCGACTGTACTATCAAAATACAGTTACAATGTAACCGTACTGTAAATATAAACTGTACAATCGATGAAAAATGTAACTTTCATGAAATGTAATCAAAATACCAGACTATAGTTGTTTCACATTCTCCTGAAATTAATGCAAAACATTGTTCAGAATATATTTATTTAAACACGAATAGAAACAAATGTTACATTATCAAATTACAGCTAAAAAATCAATAAGACTATACAGTCAAAACATTTCTACAGTTAACACTAGTAGGTTGTTTCTGAAAATGCATGCACCTTTCGGCAAAATGTTCTTATCGAAATTATTCCTGATTACAACTTTTGTTGTCTTGGTAACAACGACGATACCGCAGATTAGGAAAATTTCTCATGACAAAATCTTAAGTTTATAATATAAGGAAACATCAACATATGTTAGTTCAATAATAATAATGTTTGAGTAAATAAACTTATAAAAATAAATAATTCATCCCTCGTGCTTAATGAAATGTATTGAAGTTATAAGGACGGGTTTTAACTTGATGATAAAAAAAACCTGGAGTTGTAATAGGTTTGTTTTGATGTTAACGGTGTGATAACAACTAGTTACACAATTCTGTAATCTATAAATAAGACTGAAAAATAAAAAATTGTTTAATAGAGAAAATCTCATAAGCGACATAATGTATCAATTACATCAATATTTAACGTCTCCACCATACATACAGTGCACTTTTTTATGTTCAGTTTATATCCAATTTTAACACGGATGTTTCTAGTAAACTTGTGAGATGAAAGTTCTTTCACCAATTACAACAGGTGTGTTACATTTAATTAAGAAAATATGTAAACACAGAAAACGTAAAACGAAACCGCAAACTAAGCATTTTTTCAAAATGTCTACCTAATCATATCATAGAAAAACATTAAAACAATATTGCAATATGCTCATTACACAAGACAGTAACTATTTGTTACGCCTAGGACGTAATGTAAGAATATATATATTTGTCGTTTTCCTATATACACTTTTTGTTTTCTTTAATTTCAATTTAATTGTATATACAACGTTTTATACAACTTTTGTGGCATATAACGAAGTCCCTGTTTAGTGTTAGGAAATAATTGTTTTACGTTATAATTTTCACAGGAAGGTTTAAGTATGGGCGAGGAAATATGATCAATAACTGGTGTCCAGGTAGGACACATGTTTAAGCTTACCGTTTTATACAGTATTTTCTTTTTTTACATACTGATCTTTGAATATCTTTTGGTCGGTACTTTGATTTTCTTGATAATAAATATAAATATATTCGGTAGATATGTATACTGCTATACACGTATGACCACTCATGGTCCTTAATTTCGATTCCTAAAATTGTAGAATTGCGCGAGGTTGCACTTATTTTACGTTTGATATTTTTGTAAATAAAAAGATGAGTGATTCATCAGTAATAAATGGCTTTGAAATACTTTTCAATAACGTAAAGTACTCCTAAATTGATATCTTATGCATTTAGGTCCAAGTGTTTTCTGCTACACCACTGTCCTATTAGGACGAGATTTTGCTGCGCGTTAAATATTTAATCCCACCATATTCTGTATACGCATGTCCTAAGTCCATCAATTTATCATTTAATGGGTTGTTGTTTTTTTTTTTTTGGGATATTTAACATTTTGTCATGTTGAAGCCTTTTATAACTTTTACCACGTGGCACGGTTTTAAATATTGTTTAATGTCGTATGGTGACAAGCAGTTACTTATTTATATGTCATTTTGTTTATTTATGGATAGTATGTCAATTGCAATAAAACACATTTTTTTAACCTTATTTTTGTATTAATAACAACATAAATCACAAATGCAACTGTTTTAAATCAATCGAGCCATATATGTCTTTCGCATGCATCGTTGAAAAAAGTGGCAAACAGGAATGTTTCGTGCCCAATAATTAAAATCAATCATTCAATTTATATATGTATTATGATACACTCGATGACGTCTGAACATCATACTACTTGATTTCAAAAAGCTTAAACATGCCATTATCGAATTGCTATTTGTATATTGCTTCAAATTTTAACAATCGTTCACTTTCGATATTGTTTCTTTAATATGAAGAAAACAATCATATAATCATTTTCATGTTCTTATTGTTCTTTCGAAAATTGTACCTTCTGTTTTTTTTGAAAATATACAAACAGTTTAAATTCAAATATTTTTATACAGCTTAAACGCTTTAAACACGTTTTGTTAATTTCACACGCACATATTTGCAAAAAGTAATACGATTAAAATAATTGGTAATATAACATACACAAAGAACTATTAAACCTATTAAACTGTAAATAACATTTAACCTTTTAGTTGCCAAACCTAAAGACTGTGGAGATATAGACCCAGTACATTGTAAAAGTGGAGTTTATACAATTTTCCCGCCAGGACTTAAACCATTTGACGTTTACTGTAAACTGACCAATCAAGGGAAAGCTTGGACGTGGATTCAATTATTTAGTACTTTTTAAATACTGAAGATTAATTTTTTTTTTCGTGGGTACCAATTTTCGGGGATTAGGGAAAACTTGCATGATCGTGGATACTTAATTTCATGGCTTTGCTGAAGTCAACATACAAGCTAGCCTATAACAAATGTGTCATTCGTTGAAGATTTAATTTCGTGGTACAACTGTACCCACGAAATCCACAAAAATTGGTATCCAACGAATATTATTGAATCCACAGTATAGTATATATTATACAACCTTTTTTGTCCATAAACGATTGAAAAAAAAGTATCCGTCTGAGATTCCAAACAATTAATGATTGAGTGTAAATAATATAAGGCAAAGGATACAGTGTCCTTTATAAAGACTGTTGAGTAACAAATCAAGACGTTTAAGTGTACATATTCTTAATTATTAACAACGAGTCAGTTAGTAAGGTAATAGAAAAGACACATGTTCACATATAATCTGTACTTGTTAGTTCATTTGTGTCATATTTGGTTTTCGTAAATTGTTTTGTCAAAAATTAGGTCGTTAGTTTTCTTCTTTGAATTGTTTCATATTTTTCATGGCGGGTTCTTTTATGGGCCGACTTTATGGTATGGGTATTTCTCAGTGATTCAGATCGTTCGGTTGCCTTTAATTTATTATATCCACTTCATTTGAACTTTGGCTGATAGTTGTCTCATTGGCAATCACATCACGCATCCTTATTTTCATATTTACTTCATATATAAATGTATAACAGTAATGATAAAAAAAAAAGCAGACTGAACAATATACCTCATTAACTTTGATTTTATGACCAACACTTCAAGAAAATAACGTACCAAGAAAATCAAGAAGGGCAATTCATTGCTTGATCAGTTTCATTGTATCTATAACATGGTATTGATATCGTATTCAGGTTATTCAAAGACGATTCGATGGAAAAATAGACTTCTATAGAACCTTGAATGAATATGCACATGGGTTTGGTAATCTTAAAGGAGAACACTGGCTTGGTAAGTTCAAATTTTAAAAAAATATTCTCACACAAATATCCTCTTATCGGGTATGTTATAAACATATTATAGGTAGGTGCCTTTTGTTAATATTTAGAAAATAGCAAATGACAAACGTATGATTTAGAGGGGAAAAAGATAAGACGTGAATTAATCCTTTCATATTTTTAGACCATTTTACTGGAGCGTCGAATAGCTTGTTTTATATATCCATGTTTGTTGCTCTTAAACGATTTGGTTTTTTAACTTGCATGATCACAAATAAAGTATTGAAATACATTGGTTGTTGTTATGTGATTCAGTTGCTTAAAAGGGCACATTATTAAAATAATCAGTGGTTCTTTTTCTCAACGTGTGCATTGTTTAGACAGTGTATCAACAGTTTATTTTTATCAAAATTAATTTGTATCGGTTTGATATTGTAAAAGAACAAACTTTGCAGGATAAATATTTTGATAAAGGTTGTACACAAATGATCACATATATTGGTTATTTAATTTAATATGTTCTTGTGTAATTTTTTATAAATACATAAATATATATGGCCTACAAATCAATACAGTTTCGGACACGTTTGTTTATGAAAATCAAAAGCAGTTTTCGACACATTACAATACATGATGCATACTCTTATAATTTTCATTTTTCAAAAATCAAGAATGGTGAGCATTTATAATTATTATCATGATAGTTATAAACTCACTGTTTATTAAACTTAGACATTTTTGAAAATCTAAGGATTGTCCATCCCAGGAATATATAGCCTTAGTGGTATTTGTCAAAACATTTTAGAATTTTGTGTCCCAAAGCTCTCCAACGTCGTTCGTTATTGGTCGTTATTTGAACATTTTAACTCTTTTTATTGGAGCGTCAGTGATAATTCTGTTGTAGACAGAATACCATTTTAAGCCTGGTATCTATGATGAGTTTATTTATTTTGATTTTGGATAATCGATTAGTCTCTAGTTTTCTATGTTGTTGGTTCTTGACGTTTACAAATATTGGGGTTTAAGATATGGCTTTTTCAGTTTGCATCTTTCGCCTCTATTTTTAAATGTATAAACTACCTGCTCAAAAAGGGATCGAGAAAGAAAAGCTAATTCCTGTAAGGTAAACTTTGCTTGTTCAATAACCCCAGTGTTCACCAAAATGAATGTGAAGTGGTCGATCACTGATTACGGTTCTCAGCAATCACTTGAATACACACAAATAAGAAATTTTGTAGTATAAATCATCGACAACACAAAATAAGAAATATGACACATCAATCCGTTTAACATTTCATCCATAATTATGTTAGGTCACAAAGAGACTTAAATTCCCAATATCTTGTTCAAACCCTCGAATAGTCATAAATTAGACATAATCTCTTAACATGCTCATCAAGATTAGTTGACAAGGAATGGCAAACTGAATAAGTGAAGATGCTCAGTCACGTAGGGCTCCTTATCTATATATAAATTTTAACAATTGATGTGTCAAACCTAAGTTATATAATATATTTTCTATTTATAGGTAATGATAAAATACATATTTTAACTTCCGGAGGTAACTTTGAGTTAAGAATATATCTTGAGGATTTTGACGGAGAAGCCAGGTATGCTTTATATAGGAGGTTTTCGGTTGATGATGCAAATTCAAAATACAAACTAGCAGTTAGTGGTTATAGTGGAAATGCAGGTATATACTTCAAATGAATTGTTTGATTACTCTATTGATTAATGATTTTATTTTTTTGAAAGATTCCTTCAAATGTTAACAAACAATGCGGTAAGGTTTGACAATTGCATACCTATATGATGATCGATTTTCAGTTTCATTATAATATGTTCTAACGAAAGATCAGTGTGTGTTTCATTGCCCGTGTGATTAATCATTGTTGTTCCGTTTAATTCCTGTGTTATAGTTGATGCGTTTCCCTTGGTTCTAGTTTGTAACCCGTATTTGTTTTTTCGCTAAACGATGTATGACTATTCAACAGCGGTATACTTCTGTTGCCTTTTTTGTTAGTACAAAAATGCACGCGACATGTTTAGATTGTGTCAGACTGTTACATGATATAACGTTAAATATTTAATGAGAATTCGATATTATTACAACATGTACAACAAAAATTATATTATTTTAAACTGTAGTGTTTTTCCAGTACTAAATTAAGGGAAACAACTCATAAACAGGACAAATTATATTCCTACATATCCCATTCTTGTGGGTTGAGCATGGTTTGCTTGTTCATAACTTGTTATGAATTTTTTTTTTGTATAATTCCTAGTTTTGCAATCCTATATTTACAATTATTTTGAATGTACTTTCAAAGTGAAAATTATAGTCGATTCTCGCATTATACACCATGATCGTTCCACTTGCTTTGTGACTGAAAACAAATCAACTCAATATTTAACAAAATTAACTGTATGCACTTATTCATTTTAAACTAATAGATGCATGTTTTAAGTGGGAAAGTAATGTGTTTATAATTAAGCAATACACCATTTCTTTGTTACAGGGGACTGTCTTACTGGCCATAATGGAAGGCTTTTCTCGACTCCTGACCAGGACAATGACTCCTCTGAATCTAACTGTGCAGATTCGAACAAGGGCGGCTATTGGTATTATAAATGTTATCGTTCAAATCTAAATGGAGCCTATTTGAAAGGTGAAACCAAAATCAAATATCAAGGGATGGTATGGCCTTGTTGGAAAGGATACAACTACTCTTTAAAATCAACAACATTGATGATACGTAGAATATGAATAAAAATTACTAGTACATGACACACTGAATAAAGATTGTTATTCTTTGTCAATTTCACGATAAGAAAATAAATGAATTTACCTAAAATTTCCTATATTAACCGATTACAAGTTGTAAGAAGGATATTATGGAATTCAGTTTCAGTTTGCTATAATTAAGTTGTAGTGTATTCTGTATTAATCAAAAAGATGTTTGTGGTCAATGTTGTTTTGTTATAGCTCCAATCTCTTAGTTGGTGGTATACTGCAATCCCATTGTCCGTATCTTTCACTACAAAACATGTAGAAATAATTTGATAAGTGGTCTGGAACTACTTAGTTGTATGGTATAATTGATGTTTAAATTTGCCGGTCATTGACTTCCTGATTGACGATACTTTAAATCGTAGAGTAGTCACTGAGCACATAATTCATATTCTACATTTTTCGTTGCATTTCGGAATGATTTGATAATCGATCTAAAATATCAAAATAAGGAGATGTGGTATGTTTGGCAATGAGAAAACTATTCAAAAAGCTCCAAAAAAGTAGATGTAAGCGATTTTAGGTAACCTTTTGGCCTTCAATAATTATAAAAACCCATACCGTATAGTCAGGTATGAAAGGCTTCGACATCAAACATATGAAACAATTCGATTGAGAAATTAACAGCCTAAAGTATAAAAAAAACATTTTACTAAAATCTAATATGTCAGACATGAACCAAGGATAACCACTTAAATACAGACTCTTGACTTGGGACAGGCAAATAAAAAATGTGGCGGCTTTAACATATGTTAGTGGGCTACCTATCTGCGACAGTTGTAAAAATGCAAACCAAAAAAAAAAAAAAAAACTATGCAAAACAATAAACGAAAAAGTAATATGAGAAACGGCAAAAACGATAAACATTAAATTATAAGCTTCGGACAGGCACATATAAAAAATACATGTCTTGGTTAAAAATGTTTGGATGTGCAAATGTTCCCCTAACTTCGAACAGTGGTGTAATAAAAGAAACAAGAACAAACTTTCAATATCAGTTGAAAGTGTTTACCCATCATAAACACTCATCATATCGATACAAAGCACACAATTATCGAACAAAAAACATAGACTCGACGGTGGATGTGTCAGGACATGCTTATGTTGTGTCGATATCTTAAATGTATTGTTCAGAAAAGGGACGTTGAGTTTTCTAAAGATTTTCATAACTAGTCAACTAATATCCAGCATTAAACTATACTACCTTACAGAAAAAAAACTCCCTTAAAATCTTTCGGCAGTTTTCACACAAAATATCCATTTTACCCCTTTTCCCTCGATTTAATGCACACCATCTATACCCATGAAATTTCCCTAAACAAATTCCGTAAATTTTTGATGCTGTTCTAAAAAACACATATTCACGCCTTATAGTTCCAGGTAGTAAAGTTGAAATTATTCCTTTGTAAATTTTACGGATGCCATCCTGAGTTGGTTGACCAGCAGTTTGGTGTATTTACGCACGTAATAGTTTTGGTTTCACTTAGGTAATCTAATGAAGCCATTAATCGGATAATATTATTTGACCAATTTCAGGACATACTTTAATTTCACGAAATCTACCTTGTTTATGGTTTCACCGTTAAAATGTACGTAACACGTGTCCAAATTTAGGCATACCCCTGTTTTGACAGTTCTTTAAACGTCTGGTGATTTCGTTCTTCAAAACATATCTTAATTTGAATACAGGAAAGATTTTATACCACGAATTATAGTTCAGTTTAAACCAAACAGACTACCAAGGATGCGGAGCAATATTTATTTCATTTTGACAAACATTTGATAAAAAATGAATTCAATTTGATCTGATGATGATTTTTTTATGGAAAATTGCTAAATATGGTTAATCAGCGGATTGCAAATAAAAAGTAAAATAAAAAAAATACTGATTTCCGAGGAAAATTCAAAATGGAAATTCCCTAATCAAAAGGCAAAATTAAAAGATCAAACACATCACACGAATTGATAACAACTGTCATATTCCTGACTTGGAACCGGCATTTTTGCTATGTAGAAAATGATGGATTACACCTTGTTTCAAAGCTAGCTAAACCTCTCACTTGTATGACAGTCGCATCAAATTTCATTATATTGACAACGATGTGTGAACAAAACACACAGTCATAATAGGTAAAAATGTCATAAATAGGGGCACATCAGTCAACAAAGTGTTGTTATCTTAATCACTATAAAACAAACAAATGTGTAACAAAGAAGCACAATAAGGCATATAGACAAAGCATATTAGCGAAAATTAAAGACAAGAATACACAAATTCACCATCGCACAATAACACAATGACTAGATGTATAAGTACAGAGCCACGTCTATGTGTATCAAAGAAACATAAAAAGGCATATAGACAAAGCACATTAGCAAAAATGAAAGGATACGAGAATTATCATAGAACAATACCACAATGACGGGATGTATAAGTACAAAGTCATGTCAAATGGATCTCAATAAAAACAGACTAAACAGTAAAAGGCATATGCATAAAGAAAAATAAAAGAATACTATAACACGTTATAAAGATAATAAACAACGTCAGTACCCAGAATCTATACATGTACTTCAATACCATCGCGTATTATTTGTGAAGTTGATACGGAATATTTATCAACAAGGTCTTGGTACCTTCCAATGAACTTTTTTTTAGAAAAATGACGAGACGTTCTTTGACATACCCCTGGTTCATCAACTTTCTGCTCAGACAATACTGACGTTTTACAAAGTCTGAGTCTGAGTAGGAGCTGCAAGCTCTTAAATACCGAAAGGGTTAGGAAATATATAAGCGATATGCAGGTGAAGTTGGTATATTGCTACTAAGGTGGGGAAAATTAATAACTTCAAAATTAAAATCGTATCGTTTGTCATAGATTCTGGTACTGAGATGACCGTGTAAGTCAAATTTGAGGTAAAGGTCTAAAAATGAGGCGGAGGATGCCGTGTCTGTTGTTTCTGTTGTTCTGAGGGATATATCAATGAAATCCAATCAGAAAAGTTTGGATTGTTAATGGAAAGAACATCATCAATATATATGAAAGTGAAATTAAATGACCTGGCTTCTTATTCAGGCTTGAACTTTTTTATTTTCATTCCTTCAGAAGAGTTAAAAATAATTAAAAGAAAGATTCTGCTATTGTTACATTGTGGATATGACGGAATAATTAAATGCGCAATATCAACGGCTGCACGGACATAGTGGTTGCTCAATATTAAGCAAAAATCAGTTACACAATGATGAGACATTAACAGCTAGTCATATCTACCATTAATATAACTCGAGTATCAATACTTTTTGTCAGAATGTATTTGTTGTGTTATCCACCTTTTTCATCCAGAAGTGGTTTGATATAAAGTGATACTTTGCGTTACATCGCGTAATAGATTTCCAAATATTCAGCGCAGTCACTTTCTCATATTCTACTTTGAATTCTTCCAGGGTACACACAGTTTTGTTTTACTTCATTTGACTTGCCATTTCGGTTTGCACTTTTTTATGAAAAAAGTTATCTTGAGTATTAATGTTTTGCTTGTTACATATAATTTAAACATTTCAATTCATGGTAACATTATTCGGTGAATATTGCTTCTTCTTCTGCTGCTTTCCCTGGCATTCAACAAAAGCAGTTGCAAATAATTATTCTTTTGTTGGTTAATAAGCCTCATATTTTTAGAATGAACAGAGTAATCAAGTTTAAACGCAGCATACGAACAAACTATAAGTAAAATTAAAGTGTTCATTTATACTGCTGCAATCATTTCATTGCTTAAGTCATAATCTCAAAATGTTTACTCCAAATTTTAACCTGCTTTATTAATTTTGTAACATGACCCTTGATGTCAGGTGAGCTAAGAACTAAGGCATAGAGGAAAGATATTTGGTCAGTGCACAGATGACTTGTTAATGGTATTCATAAAAGCAGACAAAAATGCCTAACAAACTTTGAGTGAGCCTTCAAAATGTTTAAGACTTAGACAATCTAAAGAAAAAAACAGATACAAGCACACAGAAACACATATACACAACTATGAAAACTAAAGCTTTGACAATGTGAACATTAAAAACTGCAGTGATAATACTCCTGAAAGGGTAGGTATATGCCTGCTCAGCATGTGATAACCCTCAATTTAATTAATGGCCTATTACATGTTTTAATTAATTATAGCCTGGGTAATATGTTTGACAATGTGATCCTTTCATTAAAGATGAAAACCCTCACTCAAAACCAAAGAAAAGGAAATTGTCATATGATTGCCCAAAAGACTGCTGTGTGAAATCCTTCAGCTCAAATGAAACCTTGCATAAGCACCTTCTGCTGGCAGACTGTAACTATGAATAAGTCATTTCTGTGCATGACAAGGCTAAGATTATGTATGGCACAGAGGCAAACAGCCTTTTAATTAACACCCAGTCAGTTTCGATACCATCAGACTCAATGGCAGGAGAAAGTGGGCTGTATCAGGGATGGGCACTGACAACCATGAAAAAAGATAAGTTTCAGTGAGGATCAGAGGGAATATTTGCTCGACAGGTTCTACGCAGGGAAAAGACCTGGCAGTAAGGTAGATCCTTTTAGAGCTGCAGAGGAAATGAGAAATATGAAGGAAGAAGAACAGTACCATTCAAAAGAAATGAATATATGACTGGATAACAAAGTTCTTCCTATTTTAAAGACTTGCTATGAAATCTGAACCTGGGGATTTTTAAATCTGCTGAAAAAGAAGACAGCAAACATGAACTGAAAATTTAAATTTGCAGCAACTTGCTAAATAAGCTCAATTTTACTAAATTTTAGTGCTATGTATTATTTCATCTGTGATACGTCAATGATTCATTTTCCACTTTAAAAATATTTAGTAAAGCTCTCAGTT